ACACCCAACAGGCCGTCTTTGTCCTTGAGTCTCTTTGTTGCCAAATGGCATTCAACAGAACTGGCAGGTATCAAGCAACTTTAACAGATGAAATATCCCTCCTCTTCTTCTTTTCCTCTCCTCCTGCCTCTCTTGTATACTAAATGTATGTAATCACAATACTTGCAGCATGGGTTAAGTCATATTGCACATGAAAATGTAGAGGACAAAGCCTCTTACACTGATGCTTTGCATGTTTCTCTGCAGGGAGAGAGGCAGCTCTTTGCTCTCTGTGCATCATACGTCTTCTTTAATCTCATCCGATTACTGAGTAGAAAACAAAATTTACTCTCTCCTCTCATAAAAGACAATATGCCTCTGCAGTATATGCCATTGTTAAAGATAATTAAATGGTTTAAAGCTGTAGATTTGCTGGTGGACACAGATGTAGCAGCTGTTATAATAGAGGAAAGGATGAGTTTTCTTATTGTCACAGGCACTAGGGATTTTGGTCGGTTGTTCGGTCCACCAGTTTCGGAGAGACCGAAATATGTGAACTATTAGATGAACTGCCATTACTTGTGGTACAGACATTCAGGACTCTCATATTGGATTATTATATTATTATTGCCATTACTTAGATATTCATGACTTCCAGAGGATAAATCATACTCACTTTGATGATCCGCTGACTTTTCCTCTAGCGCCACCATGAGGTTAACAATTTTTGGTTTTTGGGAAACGTCTCGTTAACTATTGGATGGAATATTACATTATTATTGCCATTAAATTTGGTACAGATATTCACGTTATCCTCAGGCTCCATCAGATAACAATGAGAAAAAAATATATATATTTTCAGCTTTATTCTTTAAAAATAAATAAAATGTATAAAATTGACAAAATAGAGGAGTAAGGGTTGGTATTAATAATGTGAACTCTTTTTATTGCTTTTTAAGTATTTCTGTGTATATTTTTACTGCAGCTATGGAGTTTTGTCTGATAGGGAGGTGTCCTTTCCATATTGATGCTTAATGTATATATGAAAAGATAACATTGCAGTCAGGAACGCAGTAGCAGTAATGTAGTGCTACTAGCAGGGTCAGCGGTGGCACGACTTTTTAATATCTCCCATTTCCAAGGGAGACCAGCCCCCACGGCTTATATAACACCGGAAACAGATGTTGGCAACACACAATCATCTCTCCCTCTCTCTTTTTCTCTCACTCTCTCTCTTCCTTTGTGTCCTCTTTCTTCCCCTTTTGTCCTTTACTCACACTGTGACATGTTCAAAGTATATGTGTTTTCTCCATGATGAATATACCTGCACATTGCTCAGTTTTCCACAGATTTTTTTAGCACAGAGGCTGCTCTTGTAATCAAAACCACTACAAACTAGTGTAGTGACACAGATACATATAATTAAATCCATTTCTTTAATATTGCTTAAACTTGCAGTTTAAAGTCTAATGCAGTGCCAAGTCACTTTTAGTTTCACACTGTGTGCGGTATTTGTGAGAGGAGGGGTTAATGTTTCCCGTTGTGGATTATTTGTTGTGTAATCCTTCGCTTTAGCTGCAAACACCACAGTGATGCAACTATTTTATATCACATAGATGCAACACAAATAAACACATCATCCAGAAAACCGCGGTGATCTGAAGAGTAAGACCAGATGGGAGCATGGGAGAGCGAGAGGAAATTATATAAATGGAGATCACTAACATAGTTTCAGGTGAATGTCCTCCATCACCTGCTTTGCTGCTGTAAGATCCTCTGTTGTGGACGTATTCTATTTTTAAAATCTGTGTCATACTGTATCAAAGTCAGAAATTTTAAAACCCATCTCTGACCTCAAATACTCTTTTGTGATAATTTGATTTTGAGACATGCTGCCTTTTTCTCAACTTGATCAGGAAATGAAAAGTCCATTTCACCTCCTCTTGCTTCCAAGCCCAGATGATGCCTGTTGCCAAGGCGACTGCTATAACCCAGGTGACAGACCCTTCCTGTGAGCTGCGCCCTGTGATTGGCCTGTCGAACCAGGGGGGTGGGGGGTGGGGTGGGGGGGGTGTCCACAGATTGAGCCTTTTGATTGGCTGGCTGGTTGGCAGAGGCAGGGGCCCCGGCAGACAGAGATTCTGTAGAGAGCATTGATTTAATCGGCTGGCAAGCGGGCAGACAGTCAGTGCACACGCACACATGCGCGCACACACATAGACGCGCACACACACACTTACACAAACGGCTGGCGGGCTGGAGGTGCAAGGGGAAATTTGGCCCAGTGGGGGTCACCTCTGTGGGAGCGATTGTATGTGTGTGTAATATCATGCTCTCCAGGAGAGGCGTTGCTGGCAGTAATAGAAGCACTCCCAGGAGCAGACCACGCTGGGTAATATCACACTCCCTAGGGAACTCGCCATACACACACACTCACTCACTCACTCACTCACTCACACACACACACACACACACACACACACACACACACACACACACACACAGAGAGAGCAAAACACAGCACATATGGCCTGTGTTCAACATGAATGACATACTAATGCAAAGATCCAGACAGGGGGGACACAAATCAACAGTGCACACACATGCTATTAGCTTCTTGCATTCTTACAAGGTCAGATGATGTAGTGAGCGGTAGCAAGGTTTTTGACTCATTCACTGGACATTGTAGGATCAGGAGACACACTGAGAGAGCAGCATTCACAGACGCTCTGGATGGTAATCTTTCATGAGAAATTATACAAGTTGAATTGTCATTTATTTTACCAAGGAGTCTATAAAACAGGAAAAATCAGGTGTCAGACATGAATGTGGAGGTTAATTTAATCCAAGTTTTTGAAGCCTGCAGCAGGATATGTCTTGCAGCAGATCAGATGCCAATGCTTTTTAATATTCTGTCTGTGCACCGACAGTAATGTTTATAAAATATCATTCTAGGTGATTTAATTTGAAACTTTGGTTGGTGTATATATCTTCTATATTTATTTTTGCAATGTAATCAGAACAGAGTTCTTACCGTAGTCAATGCAATACATTAAACAACTTCTCCAGATTTTATTGTAACTGAACTGCTATAAGTTCAATTTTGGACTTAAGTGAGAGATAAAATTAAGTTGTGACCATATATATGACAGACACACTGTATAAACACCCGCCACAGTACTCAAAACCACCTCTGTGGTAGTCCCCCGCTACAGTAGGTGTCTCCAGGACCACATTTCGCCATGATGAGACACAGACTCACAAGGTGAAAACAAAACCAGCCACGCTGTCTTTTGAGATCTCACTGCTTAGATTGTCAGCATGTTGACAGGCATCACAGCTGGTGGGATCTCATCACAAGATGGTCTCTACTTTTACCAAAGTCTTAGAGTGGAATGATTGACACTGGCCCCTTTCATACTTTGATTGGCTAATTGTCTGTGTCTCCTCAGAACACATGATCAAGCACGAGATCATTGGTCCTCTTACACCTGGCTGTAATTTACATGATAAATGTTTTATTTTTCACTTTTAGTGATGAACTTTTTTACTCCTTAACGGGCTCTTTTCTACGTTCTGAAGTGTATTTCTTGTTTGTTGATGTTTGATGAATCTGGGTCCACGACCCCTAAGATGTGGCAAATAAACCCGGGTGGTCACAATGTGATTAACATGATAGTAAAGCAGAGAAAAATATCTTCTCTCTTTCACTGAGAATATGTTTTAGATACAGAGTAGTTCCAGACAACAGCGCACACAGCGAGGTCTGTGAATGATTATTTTAGAGGTGTAATTGTATTTACCACAAACAAAATGTCATTCATCTCTATTTTATTGCAGAAGTCTCAAAGAATGTGTAACTAAAACTAAAGCTATCTGCGTGACTAGAAGGAAATATGTTTGTGTTGATTATTTGGGTGAACTGACACTTTACGTGGCCACAAGCCAAAATGGTGGGAACCACTGATGTAGTGGAAACATTAAAGTGTGTTTTTCTCATCCACTTCAACACAACTCTACTCAGGTTTTAGAATTTGTCTCCATTGCTCACATGCACGTCTCTGGCACATCTGACATTTCCCTCTTAATAGATTCCTTGCAGTATTTGCAGAAATCAGAAGCCTGCAGTCATGACATCTCCCCGCCCTGTAGCCTGTACCTGTAACATATCACAGAGCACTACAAAGTGAGCTGAACACGAGGCAGGACGGCTTTAATTTTATATTTACTTCTCCCTCGCTCTCCCTCTTCCTCTGCCATTCTCTGTCTCTGCCGTACACAAACTCCAGATTTTGCCACATTCAGATGACAAGGCAGATGAAAGCACGGAGAAGGCTGCGAGAGATGGAGACAGGGAGTGTATTCTCGGCCCATCCGAGATCCCACCCCCTTTCTATAATCTATAGGCTGGTTTTCACTCAGATTGGGAGCCGACAGCTTCATTAGGTGAGGGGGGAAGCTGCTTTGATCTAAAAATACACACCATCATCGCCTCTGGAGTGGGAAAAGTTAAAGAGTTTCCCTGTGTCTTAATCAGAAAAAAAAGATGATTTTTATTCTGGGGAGAGGCAGAGGATTGGAAAATATTGAGTGAGGTGGCATTGAGGATGCATTAATTCTCATTCCTGCAAGTGTTATCTTCCTTGGGAATATGGGAATGTTTGCGTGGCTGAAGTGTGTGTGTGTGTTTTTTTTGTTTTGTTTTGTTTTTTGAGGGGGGGGGCAGTAATCTATCTGTGTTTGAGCCAGTAGATGCTGTTGTTTTTCTCAAGGTCTTTATCTCGGTGGGACTGCAGCATTGCTGTGTATACAGGTGGTTTGGTAAATAAGAATCCAGCACAAGCTCTGGACTTTGAGCTTGTGTTTGGGCTTTGGACTTGTTGGCTCAGGTCAGTGTGCTGTGATGTTTGTGATGTGCTTTGAGGGGCCCGATAGCACTTCCAATAACATCTCTCGCATCTCTCTCGCTGTCCCCTCTCCGCCCCTCCCTCACTCTCCACCTCTGTCTTTCTTTCTTTCAGAGCATAGGCAAAGGCTCCCTGTGGTCCATAGATCCGGAGTATAGGCACAACCTGATCCAGGCGCTGAAGAAGACACCGTACCATCCCTACTCGCCCGGCCTGGCCACCCCCTCCACCTCTCCACCCACCCTGCCTCAGACATTTCACCACAGGTAAGAAGGATTTTTAAACTGGCTGATTGATTTGATACATTTATATGACATATTTTCCAAATTAATTGCTTAATCGCTGTGCTTAATTTGATTAGATTATTTAGCTTGGTTAATTGATTAACACATTCACTGATTCACACACACATACATACGGTATATACACACATGTGTAGCGACATATATAGGTGGATGCTACAGTGCCTTCCTGTCTCCTCACTGGCCTCCTTCTTTTGCACATCAGAGCCCATGTGAGCAGATTCATTCTTGGACTCAGATTTTTCTCTGAGGTATTCAGACCTGTTGTATCATCTTTAAATGTTTTAAAATTAATTACATTTTATGATTTTATTGGTATATTTTGGCACAGCAACTTATAGATTATAATAGTTTTTAGGAAAAGTCTCTCACTGCGTCAGCTGCCTCAGGGTGTTTACGCAGGCCTCTGTCCAGGATCATCCTCTGTTGCACCCAACAATGTAACATGACCTACTGTCAATCTCTGTCACATCCCTCTGACCGCCTCCTGTCTAAGTCACTGACCGCTTCGCTTTACAGAGAGTTTTTTCCCTTCAGCCTGGCTTTTAATTTAGCATGGTTTTTAGTCATTAGTCGCTTAAGTTATTCACTTATTTTATTGTTAATGTTTGTTAATGTTATTAAAACTTTTAACATCTATTTTATTGAATTCCATTTTCAGCTTTCTCTTTTGATTTGCCCTTTTTTGGCTCATCAGTCATCTGTGAAGCACTTTGAACTGCACCAACCTGTATGAAAAGTGCCACACATGGGAAGTTTGATTGATTGATTGATTGATTTATTGAGTGACTGACAGACGGTACAGCACTGCTATCAATGTGTTCTAATTGTTTTAGGTCCCTTTAAAACTAACACTGATAATTCTGTCATGTTTTCTTCTGCTGACTCTTGAAAGACTTGAAGTTTCTTTCTTTCTCTTATTTATTTTTTTTTAACTGAACTTTTCCAACAGAGCAGGTTGCCTTATATGGCAGTTTAGATATGTTGGTTATGCTAATGATCAAACGCTTACCGCCTGATGAACAGGTGGCAGGTTGACAATGAGCGATTTCCAACAAGTCTGTGCAGTTGAGTTTCCTGAGTCTAACTTTGAAAGCTCATACAAACAGCCACACAGAAGAAAGTAAAGGCCCATTTATTTGATTAATCAAGTATTCAGTTAAAATAAGATGAATGGGCAACAGTTTGGATGATTAATCATTAAGTCAATTATCAAGCTGAGACATTCTCCAGTTCCAGCTTTTCACATGTAACATGATTCTCCACTTTTTGTCATTGATTTTCTGATTGATCGCAATTTCACTTTTAAGGACTGGATACTGAGTCTTAAAATAAAGATCAATCTTTGAATCTTTTTATGTACTTGGTTGCCTATTTTAGTCGATTTTGTAACATATTTTGTAGCAGGAAAATGGGTTTACAATTGTTGTTCACCTGTGGAATAAAAAGAGAGTCTAGTTTTCAGGATAAATTCTGAGAAACAAGCCAAGCTGAAAGCTTCAAAGCCTCTCTTCTGATTGGCTCACTGATAAACTGAAAACCACAAATATATCTTCTCATGGATCAACACTTCACATAAAACACCAGAAAAGTGTAAAATATGAGCCCTTTAAATTTTAATTTAATAGGAAAATCTGTTCCAATATTCAGCTTTATATATTTTGTAAAAATTGTAAATTTTTGGATTTTAGTGAGAAAAAAAACAAGCAATTCAAGGTTGTCACTGTTGGTCCTGGAAATTTGCATTTTTTACTATTTTCTAAACAGTGAATCAAAAAAAGATCAGTGCATTAAACGATAATAAGAGCATTCATTAGTTGCAGCCCTGAGGTACATAGAACATAAAACACGTACACTCCTCCACCTCTCTTATTCTCTCCACCCACTTGCCCCTGGCATTGTATAGCTGACCCACCCTATCCTCTCTTTTTTCTTTTTTCTTTTTTTTTTCTGCAACAACTCTCCCATCCCTCTTCCCATCTCCCTCTCCCTCAGGCACATGCTCAGGTAAAAGAACTGGTTGCTTTTTCTTCTCTCCACATGTTCACTTGTTCATTCCCTCACCTTCTCCCCAGTCTATCCTGTCCATCCCCCTGTTTCGCCTCTCTTCTCCTTCAGCTCCTCACACTCCTCCTTTCTGCTCCTCTCACTCTCTTGTCTCTTCTTTTAATACCTCACACACCCTCCCGCTCATCCTCAGGCATACATTACAACTAGTGGGGGCACCCAGTGCTCCGTCTTCTTTATTTATCCCTGCTGTGATTTATTCCCACTCTCTCTCTCTCTCTCTCTCTCCGCTCTTCTCACTCTCTCTCCACCACTTTATCATTCAATTAAATCCTCTTTTGTCTACATTCACTTCATTCTCCAGCCCCTCGCAGTCCCCTTGCATGCGCACAAGCCTCTCCACAGCAGCATCCACCTGTGTTGTTTCCTCCACATTCCTCTCCTGACCTCTCCTCCACCCTCCATCCTCTTCCTTCGCTAACTTCTTGGTTTCCGACTCTTTCGCCCATCCCTCTGGATATGTCAGCGAGAGCTACTATTAGTTGTCTTTCTTCCTTTCTTTGCTTGTTCTCTCTCTCTCTCTCTCTCTCTCTCTCTCTCTCTGTCTTCCTCATTCTCTCTCTCTCTCTCTCTCTATGAATACCCCACCACCACCACCACCTTCCCTCCACCCCGCTCCCCAGTTGATCCGGGCAGGTTGGCTTGCAGAGCCAGCGGACTGTGTAAGACAGAATAATTGGTTCACCATAAAATGTAAAAGTGTCATTTTGAACAATGAGGTATGGGGAAGTGGAACAAATTGGGGGGATATGGGTGGGGGGTTGGGGGGGGCGGGGGTGCTGAAGCAGAGGGCAGGGGGGAGTGAGGGGGAGGAGTGGGAGAGAGAGGGGAGGTTGTTCATTTGCATTGTGACACACAGTGGGAAATGAGAGAGAAAGTGAGGAGAGTCCATTTCTTGGTTAGAATGGAGTTGAGGTCCCTTATGATGCAGCACCTGAGGAGCGTGCATTGTGTGTGTGTGTGTGTGTGCGTGTGTGTGTGTGTGTGTGTGTGTGTGTGTGTGTGTGTGTGTGTGTTTGTTTGTCTAACCATGTTCATGGTGCTTTGTGGGAACTAAACTGCTGGACCCCACAACTTTAAAAAGCTGTTTGAGGATTAAGACTTGGTTTAAGGGTTAGGGTCAGAGTTAGGTTTAGGTTAAGGTAAGGGTAAGGGTAGAAGTTAGGCATTTAGTTGTGATGGTTAAGGTAAGGTTAAGGGGCATGGGAATGCATTTTTGTCAATGAAGGGTCCCCACAAAGGGAGCTGTACAAACGTGTTATCTAACCTTCCCAGCAGCCATCAGTTTTCATTATAACTGCAACTAACAATTATTTTCATTGTCAATTGATCCAATCATTCTTTCTTGATTGATTAATTATTTTGGCTGAAAATACTGAAAATTGTCCATCAATGTTTCCCAAGAGTCCAAGGTGACATCGTCAAATATCTTGGATGATTTAAAACAGAGAAAAGTACTAAATCCTCCCAGTGAAGAACCTTCAATCAAAGAATGGTGGCCATTTTTACTTCAAAAAATTAATAAAATGGTTAATTGTTCGTCAGAAAAGTTGCTAAATTAATTGATGATTAATTAATCGGTGTTGCAGCTTTAGTTTCCATTCATTTCTTCACAATATGAGAATCAACCCGAGACTTGCAGAGACTGAGAACTCTTTTGTTGCCTTCCTTGTACACATGACAGTTGTTTGCAGTTATGAGCAGGGGCCAGGTGCATTTAAGTGCAGTTCAGCATCAAACTCTTTAGAGTGAGCTGGTGAAAAATTTTAATGCATTTTGAATCCTTGAAAAGGAGAGCCTTCAAAAATGTCACAGCTTTTCTACAACTATGAACTCCAAACGTTACATATGATTGAACAGCATGCATCTTTCAAGTCTCTGTGGGTTTACTTTTTTGTATCGTCCTTAAATTAATGGAAACCAGCAGCTTTACAAAAGGTAGAAAATCAGTCTAAGAATTTATGGTGTGTTTTAGAAACAGGCCAGCAGCAATGTAAAGTACATGCACAGCATGTACAGTATGCTAATGGGCTACAACATGAAACCACCACTTGTATGGCCCTTTAACCTCTTTAGCGACACTGTGCTGCTGTTCCATTATACAGAAATGTTGCTGGATCCACATCCCGAAGTTTCCAAAGATATAAAACATGTCAGTCTCAATAAGCAAAGCACATTGATGATTATCCACAAGATATCTGTGCTTTTTCCATTTGATCCAATAGTGCAGCAATAAAAAATACATTTGTGTTGGAACAAGCAGATACAGAACAGATAAGTGTCCTGCAGTGTGGAAGGAATGTATTCTCTAACTTTAAAGGCACTTAGTGGTGAATTTAAGAAGAAAATTGGGTTCAATAGGGAATTAATATTACCCTTTGAAGCTGGCACAATAGGGCCACTGTTCACACAAAGTCAGAATTTGCAACTGCGGTCTTGTACTTTTAATTATATTAGACAACAAACAAGCATCCTGCCTTCAGGTTTCAGAGCACCATGGCTCAAAAAACACATGAATGGCGCAAAAGGTCATCCTTGTCCTTGGAATTAGTCATTTCAAAAGAAAAAATCCCCACTCAATGTCCACTTACTAGCTTTTTTTTTCCAGTTTTGGACACTATTACACAGTCTTCAACATAGTTCATAGTTGTTATGGATATGGATCTGTCTACGTGCACATATTCAAAACTTTTTGGATAATAAAAGAAAACAGGTGAAGACTACATGATACAGGTGAAAGCTCCAGGGATTTAAAAAAAATAATTATTTCTGTTTATTAAAACCAGAAAAAACACATCACTTTCAATTATGTCTCAGTATACTGTTTTGTACACTACGAGTCAGAACAGGCAATTTAGTTAAGATAAATTCTTTGTTAAAAGTTGTGAGTGATTAAAAACGCTTAAACACTTTTAAGATTTTAGCCTTAACATCTTATGAAAAAAGTCATCTCATAAAGCTCAAAGATCAAGATTATTTTTTGAAACTGTATAAGTAGTGAACCTTAAAAGTCATATATTTTACACTTTTCATGTGTTTTATTTGAAGTGTTGATCCATAAGAAGTTATCTTTGTGGTTTTAAGAACCAAATACTATCTCAGTGTAGTTTTACATCTCATCTCTCAGGTTTCTCTCTGGAGCTCTAGTAACAAAAGGTTGGTGAGGCAATGGGAAGAGAGGAGGTTTTGAGCCTCTCTTCTGATTGGCTGATTGTTTTCTGAGTGATCGATTGAAAATAGCAGATTTCAGGTAAACACTCAGAGAAATCAAATCCTGCAAGGTTGGATGGTGGGTCCAGGTGGGTGGGGCTTGGGGCTGAGCGGTGACTGCTTTTCTTGTGACATCACAAAGTTACAGAAGTCCTGACGGCTCGTTTCAAGTCTTAGTGTCTGAATACAGGCTGTGTGCATTTCTCTGTGGATTGAGCGCTTTGATACTTTCACAGTATTAATATAGAACCTAGACCTGCTTTATAATCAAACAACACATGGACATCTACCTTTATACTATATGGGACCTTTAAAGTGTAGATTAAAGGATCAGGGAATAAATCTTGTCAGAAGATGGTCCATATGAGCCAAGTGATCTAACACAAATGTACAGTCTGTGTCACAATATTAAATAAGATATTAACAGTTTCCTTTATATGTATCTTGGAACTCAGTAGGTCCAATCAATATAACACAATATCTTTTTCAAGAGCACTCACTCTCAAGAATATTATGTTATTAAGTGTAATGACTGTGAATTGTTGCACAGCTTGTCTATTATGTTAAGGTCAAGGACTGTCTCAAGCAGTTCTACAGAACTCAGAAGTGGACGATGAACGCAGAGAATGAGAAGATAGAGAGACAGGAAGTGGCAGAATGAAGAGGTGGAGAACAGAGGGGAGAAAGAGGCTGAGAAGGGAGGAGGGGGATAGAGGGAGAGCTATGACGCTTCTTTGTCCTCTACTCTTTGTAGCTTTACACCTCTTGGTTTTTCATGGACCATAATAACTCACGCCGCACCAGTCGACCCCCACCTGCAGTTTGCTCCAGCACGTGTGTCCGTGTGTGTGTCTTTATCTGCATGTGTGCACAAGTCAGTGCAGTTATGTTTTTCAGTCCAACTCTGTGTGTGTGGATGTATGTATCCTATGTGCGACATGTATTTCTAAATGGGTGCATGTGGATGTGTCAGACATGTGCAAGTGTGTGTGTGTGTGTGTGTTTGTGTGTGTGTGTGTTTGTGTGTGTGTGTGTGTGTGTGGAGGGGAGAGAGAGGGAGAGAGAGCATGCTGGGTAGTGTGTGTGTGTGTGGGTGCATTCCTTCACACCCCATCAGCATCTGGATGGGAGGAGGAGGGGAGGGGAAAATGGATGGAAGGAGAGAAGGGTGTCTCAATGGGTTTGGGGAGGAGCTCTCTCCCTCCGTTTCTCTCTTTCTTTCTTTCCCCCCACCCTCCCTCTCCCCTCACTCGCAGAGAAAAGATGAGGGGAGATGTTGGTGGTGGTGGGGGGGGGTGAGCGTCTGCCACGAGTTTAGTCCCTCGCCTACTACATTAAATGTACAGGGTCGCCTTGGCAACGGGAACGCCGCCATGGCAACACATGTAGTATAAGGCAGGTGCTGTCGCACTGTGAAGCCATTTGTTGAGAGAGAGAGACAGCGCGGGGATGGGAAGAGAGACAGAAAGAAAGAGTGAGAAAAGGGGAGAGGGAGCGGGGTTGAGCGAGAGGGGGGAGAATGAGATGGGCGGGGGGTGGGGTGGTAGGGAAAACAGACAGGCTGTTAGCGCAGGAAAAATATGTTATCGCCGTGGCAACGCAATGTGGCAACTCTCCATGGCAACAGCAGGTGGCTCAGGGCTGAAATTTGCGTTCTGCTTTTGCTTTTTCGTGTTGCTCTGTGTGTGTGTGTGTGTACATGTACAGTAAGTGTGTGTGTCTGCATGCAGCAGTGTGTGTGTGTGTGTGTGTGTGTGTGTGTGTGTGTGTGTGTGTGTGTGTGTGTGAGTCCATCTTTTCCCTGCATCTGGTGAGGTGAGAGCCACATCACAAGTGCAGACGTCCAAATCCTCTCATTCAGCAGCTTAGCAGAACATAAAACAGGACTCATATTACAAAGGAAACTCTCCTGATGAGTGGAAACGAGTGGGTTGCTTTTTCAGAGTTCACAGCATCCCCAGGTGTTTTCTCTCCTGTTTGTGTGTGCACGCGTGCGTGTGTGTGTGTGTGTACATATGACCAAGATGTATGTTGTCAGCCACACACTGACTGTGTCTGAGAACAGCCTGTCTAACCACAGAGAGAGAAAGAAAGAAGCAGTCAGACGTGTTGCCTAATGGGGAACTAAAGACCACTCAACCTGGGAAAGCTCCTACATCCTATCTCTCTTTCTCCCTCTCTCTCTCGCTCGCTCTCTCTCCATCCTTATCCCTCCATTTCTCTCCTTCTGTATTAAAATTATGGATTCACCAGCAGAACTGTATCTCTTGTCTTCTTGTGTGTTTGTGTGTGTGTGTTTGTTTGTTTGTGTGTGTGTGTGTGTTTGTGTGTGTGTGTGTGTGTGTGTGAGTGAAGATGTCTCTGTCTATGTGAGAAATGCCGTCATTACCTCCCTCATTAGTGGTGCAATGATCACGTAAACTGAATCCCCGGCTTTGTGTGTTCTTCTTCTCCTGTGTGTGTGTGTGTGTGTGTGTGTGTGTGTGTGTGTGTGTGTGTGTGTGTGTGTCTTTGCAGCGTGTGTTTTAATGTGTCACACTATATGCACGTCTGTCTTAAACATGCCTGTGTGACATGAGCGTGTGTTAAATGTGTGTGCGCTGATGATGAGATTTTTTTCTTTTTTTATTTGAATGTGTGTGAATGGACCAGTGGCGGGCGGTGGGGGGTTGTCATGAGAAATTACCCCCATGGACTACAGCAGCGAGGCTGTAATTCTCTGAGGTAATCACAGGGAATAATGGCAACAGTGGGACACCCGGGAATCTAATCACTATAATCAGAACCACTGGCTTATGGGCTCAAATTCCTGCTTTGCTATCTGCCTCGTGATGAAGCCTGCTGGGCTGGTTGGCTGCTGCAACATGATCAAATGATTGACCAGTTTTCTCTTTCTCTCCACCTCACTCCCTCCATCCCTTCTTCCTTCCCTCTAGTCCTCCATTGTGGTCGGGGAGTCCCCTCTTCAGAAAGAACGGAGGAGTTCTCCTACAAGGTACCGTTTCACCTCTGCAAGTCTTATACTGTATGTGTGTGATCTCCTGCCTGTTTCTTTCTCTCTATCTCTTTCTCTCTCTCTCTCTCGCTCTCTCTCTCTCTCTCTCTCTCACTCACTCTCTTCCTCACCACCCCACAACCCCTCAACCCCAAACCAGCCCCTCCCTCCACCCTCCACCCTCTATGGATGTGCCTACTCCAATCATCTCAATTCCAAATCCCTCTTTTTAGAATCGCACCTTGAGAATACCGAGCGCTGAGTTCTGACACTTGGCTCGGCGCCAGAAGAGGAATGTTTTTTCTACGGAGGCGTATTTGAAGGTTAAAAAAAAAAAAAAAAAAAGGAGTGATGGAGACAAAGTAAGAGAGAGAGACAGAGAGAGAGAGAGGTAAAGAGAGAAGAAAAGGGGGAGAGAAAATCCCATCTTTAAATCAGAAGCTGGGGAGATATCCCCCTGCCTCCTTTCCTCATTCAACACAGCATATAGTTTCACTCTTTCACTCATACACCTTTTCCCTGTATTTCCCATTATTCCTCTCCTCCTCTCCTCCTCTTCCTCTCCCCCCTCCCGACCTCCTCCCTGGTGGCTGGACGGCAGTTTAAATGGACATTCAATCCCAATCAGGGAGCACTCCGGGAGCTCGCTGGGCTGCCGAGTCCTAAATGGAGGGGGAAATGGATACATTAGGCGTCTGCGGCGCGCCCTCCATTGCCGCTGATAATGGAGTAGTAATGGTCAAGGAGCCGAGGTTGGAGAGAGCGGCTGAAAACCTGGTCTCCCCCTAGACACACACAGTCTGAGAGTGATGTGTCTGAGCAGCTGGACAGATAGCTAGACAGACAGTGAGCGAGACAGTCAGGAACTCGGAGCGCACACGTGACAGGGCGAGACAGGAGAAGAGAAACTTTTTAAATGTGTAATGTGTTTCTGAAGGGAGAGAGGGTGCAGAATGCCCGGGTGTGATATTTGGAGGCGGCAGCAGGGAGAAAGAAAGTTGTGGCAGTCAGCCAGAGGCAAATACAAGGAAAAAGAGTCGAGGGGGGTGGGGGCTGCCAGAGAGAGTGAGTTTGGGGCTGTTAGTGCCCTGTGTTATTACTTCCATCTCCCATTCCCAGAGCTTTCAGAGCTGCTCCGCTCTGAGCTGATGTGGGCTGAAATCTGCCTCTCCCTGTGGCCCAGCACTGGCTCAGGATGAACACAAGGACAATGGCTGGCAGCTGTGTCCTCAACCCTACCCATCACTCCACCTCCACAACCCCTAAAGTTCATCATTCAATGATGAAGTCTTCCTATTTTATTTAAGTTCTGTAGTCACCTGCTATTATTTTAAAAGGAGCCTAATTTCAGTTGGATTTATTCGGAGCCAGTTCTAAGTCTTTATTAACCTGTCAGCTGCAAACAAAGTGTGAATCCAAGCCAACAGAAACATTGACCACCTCCTAAATGTTTAATTGCAGTGTATTTGTTTTTGGAGGATGTTTTTTATTGCACCTGCAGACAGCTAGAAAGCAGCAGATTGAACCCTGAGTATTGCATTTTATTCTACTCCTTGTACTTGTACTCATTACATTTCATGGGGATATGTTGCACTACAGCTCCACTGTAACCTATAATCAGCCTATAAAATATGATGCATTGTTACACAGTAAGTGAAACCAGCAAACAGTCTATAAAACTGTTATTATTAGCTCTGCCTCAACCAGCTACATCATTACAATGCTGCTTACATGTTAATGCATCAATAACATGAATCCAATATTACAATATACAATAATATAACACTGGCAGCATAATTGCTGCCAATATTTTTGATACTTTAAGTACATTTTGCTGATTAAATGTAATTTTCTATAAGCAGCGGTGGAAGAAGACTTCTGCTCCTTTAAAATAAAGAAATAAAATTGAGATAAAAGTAGCAATACTATAATAAATCTATCTGTCTATCTATCTAGTAACTAATAGTTGTGAAATCTATGTAGTTGAGTAAAAAGTACAATATTTATTATCTGTAGTGGAGTAAAGGTAAAGTAGCTTAAAAACTTAAATTACATTAAAAAACATTAAAAAGCCTGTCAATCAACACTTTAACACCCAGTGTTTCTTCATAATTGCAACTCAGTTGTATATCATTAGACTCTCCTTGCCTGAGAAATGTCCATCTCTGTCTCTGCCAGGTTGTAACACAGGCTTTCTACGATCCTCTAGGTTATTTTTTGGCTCCCTCCTGACAAAACTTTTTCCACCGGCTGAACTCGAACGCCTCATGATGCGCAAACTGAACTTTATGTGTAAAATCGATGGAGTGGCCCTTTAAGTTTTCAAAGCAACATGAGCCTCTATCCCATATCATCTTTGCCCAAATAGCAGAGCAAAAGATTTGATTTTCTTTTAATATGCTTATGGGAATATACTTGAAGATCATAGAAAATGCACCAATATTCAGACAAACTGCATCAAAGAACAGAAATGTAAAAGTTCAATCCAACCAGCGAGGATGTAATTTATAGCAGAATAGGCTGCTGAGCATCCAGCCTGATATTCATGATATCCATGTTTGGAGCTGTGTTTAAAACGTTTATTAAGTTACAGTAATTAAGTGTTGCTTTTATTTTGTCTCACCCCTGGAAGTCATAGCACATGTCACTCAGCCAACCACTTAAACACTCAGCTGAGAGTGTCAGATAGACAAGCCAGTTAGCCATCCAGTTAAACTGCCAGCAACATCAGCCCACCAGCAATCCAGTCAGTCAGTCAGCCAGTCAGTCAGACAACATTAGTATGCGTCCTGCCCTCAGACTCAGTACTCAGTTTAACACACGGCAGCCAAGCAGGCCGATAGACAGGAGGGGAGGGAGGGGGGGGGGGGTGTTTTGACTGAGTGAGAGGCCACTTTCAAACGGTTGCGTTCTCAAGGTCTGCTTGAAGTGACCTTTGAACCTTTGGACTGCGTGTGTGTGAGTTCAGAGAGAGAGAGAGAGAGAGAGTGTGTGTGTGTGTGTGTGTGTGTGTGTGTGTACTGTCTGCTCCGCTCCTCTGCCGGCCGTGTGGAGACTGCAGCCTGCAGGGCCATGTGGAACTCATTTAACAGGAGAGCAGAGGAGGCTCAGTGTGTATACGGCACATGAGAGCGGAGACGGGAGGGAAGCTGAGGGCTTCGCTTGCCCTGGAAAACAGGCAGGCAGGCAGGCAGGGAGACGGGCGGCAGGCGGCAAGCGAAGACGTAGGAAGCAGACAGAAAAGGCAGAGCAGCTGACCAGACGTAGGAAAAAAGACAGACTAAAGGATATTTTCTCTCCAGGAAAAAGGCAGAGATGCAGACAAACACCTCTTCTCTTCTGTATTTACATTTTTTTTTCCCTCAGCACGTCCTGCTTTCTGCTACCAAGCCGAGTGTTTTTTCTTTTCTTTTCTTTTTTTTTATTGCTTTGAGCTTGTAAAATGTATTGCTCCATCTCAATCTCAGTGAGTGAGGACAGGCTTTTGGGAGCGCTGCCTGCTCTTTCCCAGCTTAGTTTGTCACCTCATCTCCTCAGCATATGTCCCAGGCTTTTTACCTGCAGAGACAGCATGCATGCTCAGTCGGAGATATGAGTCACCACTATACATAGAATGACAGCGAGACTGATAGAGAGAGAAAGAAATCAACAAGAGGGGCCGGAATTAGAAAGACAAAGAGAAGCGTTTGCTGAGAAATTCAAACAGCAAAGCAAGGAGGTAAAGATACAGAGCACAGACATAAGAGGAGAGTTGTCTTGTGCTCGTGCTGTGGAGGTGTGTGTCTGTGTGTGTGTGTGTGTGTGTGTGTGTGTGTGTGTGTGTGTGTGTGTGTGTATCTAGGGTAAACACTGGTGGTCAGGAGTGTGTGGTTGAGCTATGAGAGGCCATGTCAAACAGAGCTTGGTATTTCCTTTCCCCTTTTCTCTCTCTCTCTCTCTCTTTCTCTCTCTCCCTCCTTCTCTCTATCACTTTCTCTGCTGATGCATGATCTACCACTCTGTGGCATGTGGAAGGGGAGTCGTTGCTATGGCAACCCAAAGCCTGACTTGAGCGAGAGGTGGGAAAGGAGGGGTGGGCGCATGTCAACCCGGGGAGACCTAATGCACTGCCCACACACACACACACACACACACACACATACATACGCACACACACACACACACACACACACACACACACACGCGCGCGCGCACACACACGCACAACCATGCAGCGAGTGATCAAGATTACAAAAGAGACTCTGTGCAGGGACTTACTTATAAGGTTATGGAGAGCAGAGCTGGAGATATCAGGGGCAGAGCCACACTAACTGGAGTCAATAAGATTACTGTGGACACAGGCGGCCGGGGAAAGGCAACAGAAACACACCAACAATGACAAACGACAAACAGATCCATCATAATTCATCTTTGTGTGTCAAAGCATGAATCAAATACACGTTGTGGGATTGTTTTCTGGGGGGGCCTTGTCATTACAACTTGTATGTTTTTAATGAGCCTGTGGTTCCTGGGGTGAATTAAATCTCTCCTCATAGCATCGATCATAAATTTACTGTACTGGTTTAAGATTTAAAACCCTCCAAAAAAACAAAACAAAAAAAGAAAAGCTGTGGCGAAACGTTTTAAGCATTTACACCTTAACAAATGCTTCTGCAGCAGACAAAGCAAACAGCAGGTCATCATTTGTGAAATGCAAACTGACCCCAGAGATGAAAATGACAGCTGTTTTAGTTTTAACAGAGATGGCTGTGCTGAGCAGCCAGCCCTGAGTAATGAGAGCTGTTGGCTGACATGTACGTACACTCTTCTCTTCTCTTCTCTTCTCTTCTCTTCTCTTCTCTTCTCTTTTCTCTTCTCTTCTCTTCTCAAATAGATAAATATATATTAAATAAACTCACTGCTCTCGCAAGTGTTGAAAGCGTATACGTAGCTCTCCCTTCTGGTCTGTCACAGTCAATTCTGTATTTGTGAAAATGGTCTTTTCAGGTCAGGTCTTTTTCACAAGTAGGAAACCAGAGGCAAGAGTTTGAACTTGATGGAAAGTCTGAAGCTGCGTAAGAAACAGTTTTTTTATTTTGGTGGATCTGAATGTTTGTTTTCATTCTGAAGTGTTTTTTTTTTTTTTTTATATCCTGAGACACTGTTGGTTCTGAACCAGAAAATGTTCCAGCGTCTCAGTGGACACAGTGGAAACTGAACTGAACTCTTTTTAAATGAATTCTCTGTAAAGTAGGTTAATTTTACATCGTGATGGAAACACAAGTTTATCTCTTTTTTCATTCTGCGTTTTCACTAATTCATAATGGCAACAGGAAAACCTATTCAGAACTTCAAAATATATTTAGCTTGATATTTTGGGAAATGTGTGTTCAGTTTCTTGCTGAGAAGTAGATGAGAAGATTGATACCTCTCTTGTCATGTCTGTACAGTAAATATGAGACAATAGCCAGTACCTGGTTAGCTTAGCTTAGCATAAAGACTGGAAATCAAAACAAAATCTGCCTATCAGCACCTCTGAAACTCACTATTAAACTTTTTAACTCTGGTTTAATCTGTACAAAAAACAAAATGCAAATAAACGTGTTTCCAGTCTTTATGCTAAGCTAAGCTAACCAGCTGCTAGTTCTATTCATATTTAACATACACAGAGAGAGAGAGAGAGAGAGAGAGTGGTATCAGTTTTCTCATCTGGTGTAATTCTCATAAGCGTATTTCCCAAAATGTTTAATATTACTTAACTGCACAAGTATTAAAAATCAAACACTGAGTATCACTGCAATATGTAGAACCTGCACTGACAGTGATGGCAGCTTTAAGCCGTGCGTCTACCAGCTGTCAGACTGGATCAGGAGCGTTAGTAACCTGTGATTTTCAGCTCTCCCCATAGATTTTCAAATGGCTTCAAGTGCAGGCTTTGGGTGGGCCACTCGAGGACGTTCAGGGATTTGCTCCAAAGCCTGTCTATTATCCTGAAAGTGTGGTTCAGGGTGTTGTGTTGCAGGAAGGTGGATCTTTGCCCCATTCTCTAGTGTTTTCTTCGAGGACTTGTCTGTATTTGGTGGCATTTGTACGATGATGCCAACATCGTGCTGCAGTGTAGTGACACCAGGTGATGGCCAGGTGATCAACAGCACCTGGTTTTTGCAGAATGAAATGCCTGAAGATTCAATTTTTGTCTCATTAGACCAGAGAAAGCAGTGTTTAGTAAACTCCAGGTGGGTTTGCCATATGCCTGTTTGTTCTGAAGAGTAAAATGGCACTTGGATGGAGTGCTGGAGAGACGGTTGTCCTTCTGGCAGGTTCTCCAGTTTCTTTGAAACTTGGTTAGCCATGGACTCCTCCCTGACCAAGGCCCTTCCTGCCTGGTCACTGTTGACCAGAGCCTTAATGATGGACTCTCTGTGGAAACTTCTTCATCTACAGAAAAAAATGTTTCCATCACAATCCTCCCCTGGAGGTCGACTGACGGTTCCTTGAACTGTTTACTTCACAGTAAACTGTGAGACATGATGAAGGCAGTTCACCTTGAAGTGATGCGTCTAAGTAGAGCTACAATAATGATTTGCAAAAGTGTCAATACTCTCAAATTTGAAAGTCTGTGTTATCCGTCTTTAAGTTCCAGCCGCCTGCTGTTCAGCTCACAGCATCAGACAGGCTGGATTTAGCCGAGCCCAGCGGTCGTTGGTAATTGAATGACTCGCAGCGGCCTTAACTCATTTATGACGCTTTCCCGCTCAATTTAACCTTGCCTTGCTCATCAATATTGCCCTGTTGGCCTCCTCAGACGGTCAGTGAATGCTCATCGAGCTGCTCCCGGGTCTTATTGGGGTCCAAACACATTTTGGAAGAAGCTTCCTGTGTGTTTTCCTTCAGTGCTCAGGATTAACTTTGAAATAGTGTGGTGTGGATCTGTGTTTATATCTTGTCTAAGTCCCTGTATCTCCTGCTCTCTCTTTTAGTTCCTCGTGGTGTGATCCAAAATGGCGCCCGCGTCAGGAGCCAGGCCCTCTTTCCTGTGATCAGACCCCTACCTGTAAGCCCTGTGGGGAGCAGAACCTCGGCCATAAGGTTGGTAAACTTTGCCGCTGTTGCCCTCAACCGTATAATTAATGTCAGCCAGGGCTTTCCCTGCTCAAACGCATTCCCGCACAGACATAGACAGACACACCCTCACCCACATGCAAACATGCAGTAGCCTCCAAACAAACACACAAAAAACACACACCTACACTAACCAGACCTTTCACTGAAACTTTCCACCGATAGTTTACATAATTACATCTTTATTGTGTTGAAAAGTCAGAGGCATTCACACACTCCCCACTGTGCAGAACATTTTATCCAGGTGTGTTTATATAATGGTCTCTCACATGCACACGCGTACACACAGACACACACAGACACACACGCACACACAAACAGGTTTATTAGTGGGAGAGGCCTCATGATTCAAAAAACATTCGGAGCATGCATGGACATGCACATCCATCATAGGAGCACAAGAGTATGATGGTCTCCACTGCATAATGAATTAAACATATCCAAAGGCTCACTAAAGGTATGCAGTGAATATTTGATCACTGTAAGGGGTGCATGTTTTTCTTATAAGATATTAATATGCTAACCCTCTCATTCTGAAGGGAGAAAATGTCCGGGGGACAGGGCACGCTGCTGAAGCTCCTTTTGATTTATTGGTTGTCTGAATACACCCCTGTCCTTTAATGCCTTACAGAGAAAGGTGTCTCCTGACTAATAGAGTAAAATATGTGTTGCAATACAATGCATAAACTGATGTACAGTGGACAGTGGTTAAACTGCTTCGCTGCAGAGTCGTCACTCTGTGTTGATCTGACTTCAGAGCTTGCAAGGTCCTTTATGTGCTGAGCAAGTTCCACAACCTTAGGGAGCACAAGAGCTGCTCAAAATACACTATCATTTGAAAAATGCATAGGTGGCAATCTGAAAATGAGTCTCCTCATTTCTGAAGGAAAGGCTGACTCTTTTTGGAGATACAAGGTTTTAATCTGACCTGGGAAATATGCACATTAGGCCCAAGGGGGCTATTTGTGGGTGATAGATTATCAGATGAACTTTTTCTGCTTTGCAGCCAAACGCAGAGCAGACTGGAACGGCTTCAGTGCAGTGAGGAGTTGAGAGGCAGGCAGGCCACCTGGCTGGCTGTGTGACAGCAGGAGTAACAATATTCTCTCCCACTCTGTGTCCTCGCTTCATACAGATCATCCCTAGGAGATTATCTAAGCCGGGGACAGGACAGCCCATCCTGCTACTCTCCTCCGCCCTGCAGTGAGGACCTCCAGGATGACCACACTTACAGCACCGCCAAATCCCCCAGCAGGCTGTGCTCCTCCCAGGTCGCAGCCCCTTCCTCCCCCCTGGACGATGACGACATCATCGCTGTGGAGATCCAATCAGACGTCAAACCCGAGCCCCGGGAGATCCCACTGGATTCTCACATCACCACTGCCGCCGCTACCTACATTTCCCAGCAGCCCCTGCGCGGACAGAGACGTAGTTCGGGGGCAGGAGCTGGGACTCTGGCAGGAAGCAGTTTGCCCTGGACCAAAAACCGAGCAAAGGGCATTAGCGACACACTGCCGCTGAAGAAGCGGCGCGCGGCGGCGGTGGAGAAGCCGCCGGAGAGTGACGACGAGGAAATGAAGGAGGCGGCGGGGTCGCTGCTCCACCTGGCAGGGGTCAGAGCCTGCCTCAACAACATCACAAACCGCACCGCCAAGGGCCAGAAGGAGCAGAAAGAGGCCCTGAGAAACTAAGACACACACATAGAACAAGTACATAGTCATGCAAACACACACAGACGATATACAGCTCAAAACACGCACACACACATTAACACACAGACACATATACAATACACAAATAGGTCAACAGGTAATGTTACAACAGCATTAGTCTCAACGGACAATTCTCATCTCCCTCTATCTATCTGCAGGGCATTAGGTGAATCCTACTTATTTGTGGCAATATCAAAAATCTATGTTTTCCTACATGTTCAGCAACACTAACATCAATGGGTATTTCTCATGTGTCTTTGTTGTTTTTGTTGTTTAAAAGGGGATGAAAGCCATAAAAAAAGCATGTTTTGTCACTAATTTGGACAAGTCGAACACGACTAAACTGAATCACATTGAGGAGCGTACAGTACATGAACAGAAGATGGCTGTTTGTCTTACCTGTTTGTTTCTATGTGAATCTGTAGCAATCTTGCAGTGATGCCAGCAAAGATGGCAGAGCCGACGAGACAAGCCTATTTAACAAGACTTAGAGCCTCTCTCGGCCGCTCGCTGGCATCACTCTCCTACATCCACGAGCACAAATGTGAGACTGTGCCAAAGATAAGCGACCAGGTTGCTTCATGTAGCCGATATGACAGCTGACAAAAAAAAAAAAAGAAGGCATAGTAGTAAAGAAGAGCTAGAGAGAATGACCTTAAGTGTCAAAATAATTGTAAAACCCAATGTGATATATATTCATGCACTTCAGATTATTTTACGCCACTTATAATAAAAGCATCATGGGTAAAGACATGGTTTATTTCAAGAGCACTCATAGTATTTAAGAATAGATATATTAAAATTTAAAAAAAAATGGTCATGTTTATCACCATAGAGATGGATAGTGTGCCGGGTCTGAGGCAATATCTCCTTCATTTTGTTGTTGTTGTTGCATAATGTAAACGTCCCTTAAACTTCCCCAGTACTTCTGTCCATAGACGTAGACACCTGGTATAGATATCGTAGCTACCAGTAGCTACCACACCTTCCTATTCATTTGACAATGTCAAAGAACTATATACATAAACTGTGGGTTTAGATTTCTGTTTGTGTCTGTTTACCTTCACTCTACCCTCATAAAGATATAAGCAATTTGTCCCGTGTGGACAACTCTGTAAAAAGGTTAGAAAATATTTTATTTTTTTCCTTTCTTAATTGAAGCAATTTGACCTGCAGGACTTTCTCAGTTATATTGCATGGGTGCTTGTAAATAAGATAAAAAGCAAATCTTTTTTATTCAAAGATCATGTAAGATAAACGATGTATTTAGCATGAAGCATGACTTATTTTCATATAAACCTTGATCCTAGAGGAAAGAAAAAAAGTTTTGCCGCCAATTCTTATACCCGTGATTATATTGGAGTTTTTTTTGTTTGTTTTTTGTTTTTGTTTTTGTTTTTGTTTTTGTTTTTGTTTTTGTTTTTGTTTTTGTTTTTGTTTTTGTTTTCGGTTTTGTTTTTGGTTTTGTTTTTGGTTTTTGTTTTTGTTTTTGTTTTGTTTTGTTTTTTTGTTTTTTTTTGTTTTTCTTTTCTTTTGGGTTCTGTTTTTCTGAGCGGGCTTTCAAGACACGTCTTCAGGGAGGAACATGGGAGATCACTCTGCAATTAGAGGCCCAAGGGTGCCTCCTCTGGGCTTCGGGTTCAGGCTATGTAGGCCAGCTGAATCACCTCTTAGGGGTGGGCTTCCGTCTTCTTCTGCCTGTACAGTGATTTTTAGGTGTTCAGTGTTAACCCCAGTGTTATTTCAGCACACAAACTCTCACGAGTGTGTGAGTTTGTGCGCCCAGGAACACACACCCTTTAACATTGTGCCTGCCTGCCTGCCTGCCCTCAGTACCTCTGTTGTCATGTCTCTGACATGTTTTGACAGAACGTTACCTGTCTTTATTTATAACAGTGTTGTTTTTATTTCTCTCCTGTGTGTATATGTACATGTGTCCTTATTTTCCATCAGCATTGTTCAGTGTAAATGTATGGATCCGATGGGCATGGGAATCTTTGTAGGTGTCCTGAAAGAACCTCATATCTCCAAAAAGGCTACTTGGGAGTTGAATTGAAAAGAAAGAGGAATGTAGACACAAAAAAGTTTGTTTTCTAATTTACATACAGTATTGCTAACCCTTTGATTAAAGGTACTACTTGCCATTGTGGATGTCAAGCTTGCATACAGTCTATCACATATTTATCTCAAGAGGCCAATCTGGAGATCGGAGGTAGATTTTTTTTTTAATATATTTTGCCACTTTACAACATGTATGTGTATCTCACTTAGCATTGACATTGACTTGATTGAAATTGGCAATGGCAGTAGTGAGCTTTGATGTTGTTTGCATCAGAAGTGATATAAATACTGCGCTGCCATTATTCGGCATGCTTTTGCTTAAACAGCAATGCATTAAAGTATTATTTTTCCCTCACCTGCAGAGATGAAGTGCGTATAAAAAGCAGCTTTGTAGGAGAAAACATCAGCTGTGTTTGGTTGTAGCAGCAGAGTCGCACAGCTTTTGTTTAAGCTGAATAGACACCGAGTGATTGTCAGCGAGCCAAGATGGAAAACAAATGCATGTCCCATCCACTGGTACAGTCTTTTGCCACCTGTAGCATGCATCACTGGCTTTGCATTTTGTATGGTATCCATGCCGGCATATAAAAAAAGGCTAAAAAGAGACACTGTCAGTGTTCTTGTTGTGTGCCATCCGTCTCTTGTCTGATATCTGTCTGAGTGCTCCCGCGGCCTAGGTCAAGCACTCTGCTGTATTTGCAGTAACAATCCACTGTTGTGGTGACTAATAACATGTTCAGTTGGCAAGAGGCATGTCGAGGGGAGTATGTGTTGCTTTAGCAACCACCATTTTTTCCTCTGACTCACTCAGTGACATGCAGGAAAGATGAACTCCTGACCTACGCGTCCTGGAAAAACAGAGCAACACATAAAATATACCTGGGACATTTTAAAGCAAAGGAAATATACTTCACTGCCTGAAAAGCCCCTAAAACAAGTGTTTCTTTCAAGCCTGCCAAACACACAGTTAAATGCTCTAAAAGATGTAGTTGCCATTTTTTATTTGTTGATGTTTTTATGCACATTTTCATTTTCTGTTTTGTTTTCTCTCTGACAAAATTATCTACAATACTGCCATTATTTTTCGGTGACTGTCTGAGCTGAATATTGGAAAGCCATAGGTTAGAGATGTCAAAATGCAAAACTGTTATTGATCTGTGAGATGTGATACAGAGTACGCCCAGGTGTTGGTTTTTTCAGTAAATGTTCAATTCTCTTCTTATTGTGCAATCATATTGCCAAAGAATGATTTCAAGACCTATTTCATCACTACATGTAAATATCAACGTTGTCCAATACCGTGGCAAAAAATATATAAATGTTGTTTTATTTTGTTTTCCATTTTCTGAAAAACTACAATGATGTTTATGTGATGTATTGTCTTCCAGTTGGTTGCAATAATAAAAAATACAAGTTGCAGAAGATTAGTTTGGCTGTTCTGTTCTGACAGGCTTGGATTAAACAGGAAAAAAAAGTCACTGGTAGAAAAAGAGTTGGTATTGATATCAGCATTACTGGTTGGTAGTTTAAACAGCTTAGAAAAAGCAGTATATGGTAGCATCAAATTTAACCATTTTCCTGTAAAAGTCTCAAGTTGAATATAACAAACCCTAACCAGAAAGCACGTCACCCTCCCTCATCCCCCTCCTGTTCACCACTTCATCATGCAACACACACTAACTCCCATTTGCCGACTGTGAGAGTGGAGACTTTTTGATTTGCTCTCAAGACTGACCCCAATAATTAACCTCACATATTCCTATCAACAAGGGTCTTATCATAACCATGCGTCTTCTGCCAGTTAATTATTCATTTACTTCCTCTAATCATTTAAGTTCAATACTTCTGATTAAAGTCAAACTCAGCTCCCCCTTTAGGGAAAGAAGTAAAAGAGTTAAGTGAACCAAAGAATTCCTCAATGTCTTATCAATTTGAGTGGTGCCATTTTGGAGCCGTGTGGCAGTGGAAGCCCATTCATAATTGAAGCCGAGACAGGCTTAATCTCGAGCCAGTGCCTCCCTGTGCAGTGCGCTCCCACCACCAACACAACTGGAGCTAGCAGCTCCTCTGTTGCTATGCAACTACAGCAAAGAAAGGGGGGGGTGTGCCTTCTCTAGATCTTTAGAGGGCATCATACTACTCAGTAACAGAGAGATAGACTCAAAGGTAGAGACAACATGCAATTGATAACAGCTTTATGTCTGATCACATCTCATAGTTTGAGAAGCACCTGCTAGACACAAGTCTCCAATCATCTTTTCACAACACTTTCTCTTTTTATTAAAGAAACAGATTAAAAGTGAATACAGAAGCATATCCTCATCAGTGTCAGGTAGGCCTTCAATTTCATCTCAAGGAAATAAATGTAACAAAATCAATTGTTGTAAGATTCCAGCGTAAAGGAGGCACACTGAAGTGCTAAGTGGATTGATGCACAGAGAGCTGTGTGTTCCCCGGTCTATATCATCCATATCCACAGAATGACCAGTGAGGCAAGTTTCCATGGAGACAGAAGTGGAGGTAACGTTCTCTTGTCAGTTCTCATTTATTGCAAAGCTTTATTGTTTTTTGGAAATTTTCCCCTAGTAGTCAGGCCAGGTGTGTTTCTGATTAAGCAGACAAGACCTATAGACACGGCTCATCCAAAAATTCACTTAAATCCCCCTTTATTGAATTACATGTAAAATAGTTGTGCGCTGCACAAAGTGAATGGATCGTGTGTGCGTGTGTGTGTGTGTGCGTGTGTGTGTGTGTGTGTGTGTGTGTGTGTGCGTGTGTGTGTGTGCGTGTGTGTGTGTGTGTGTGTGTGTGTGTGTGCGTGTGTGTGTGTGCGTGTGTGTGTGTGTGTGTGTGTGTGTGTGTGCACGCGTGTGTGTGTGTGTCTGTGTCTGTGTGTCATGGAAATGGAAAAGGAGAGT